CATTTTTCTATACACTTATTTCTCTCATTTTTCCTGATCGTACATCTCAAAACATTACATATATGTCCCTCCCAGAAAGTAAAAAGTAAAAATAAAGAATAAAAGCATTTTCGCAAAAATCCAATCAGCTCGATCTCTTTTGCCATAGATCCTGGATAAATGAGAACCCCAAGTTTTCTTCTGTTACGTTCCTGCAAGCTTGGTACGAGCACCTTCTTCGATCTTATTTTGGAAGCACACAAAAATATAAACTACAAGATGCCTAAGAAACCTTACCTTTTTTGCTTCTCCTTTCTAATAAATTCACGAATATAGCAAACAAGAACCCCCTCGAGTGTGGATCTTGAACAAGAAAGAACCCATATAATTTGTGATCTTATCCCTCCTACTTTTTAATTCTGAATTTCACTTGAGTCTACGGCAAATTCACGCAGCTTCCCCTTTCATTTTTCTTTTTCTCTATCTGCTCTTTTTTACAAAAAAAAAAAAGTCAAACAATACATACTTTTGCTTGGAAATAAGCAAAGCCATGTGAATATGTACTGTTCCTGTCATCAAAACACTTAGCAAGACACTGTTCATATCCCATCATGTCATGTGTGATGTACAAAATATACATATAATAATAAAATAAAAATAATAATAATAATTCGGCCACTGAAGAAGTTGGGCCCGACTCAACGCATATGCCGAACTCGATTCCCCGCCACAGCAGGCTGGCTCGACACCAAAATTCGGGCTGAACACAGTCACTTTGAAGACCAACGCCACACCTAAGTTGGTACCTTCACCATCATCTCCGATCACATATAAAAGAGACGATCTCGCACATCACATCCGAGTATCCGACCTCACAAAGTACCGAGCTCGCGCACCCTCACAATAGAGTCCGGTCCGACATACCGCAGGTGCCGAATTGACGCACCCAAACCTCGAAGTACGATCTCACTATAGCTGGTGCCGACCCCGTCTTTTCCGGGACCACCGTCAGCCCGGGTTTCAAACCAAACGAGGTCCGGCCCGACCTCGACCAACCGCAATGCAACGGCCGAGGCCGACCTCACAGACATCGCATTGGGCCCGAAACCGTCAATCTCGCCGCCGAATCACAGACCGAGCCTCCGAATCGTAGGTGCCGACCCGACCTCACCGGCCACACACAAGTCACTGACGTGGGTGCCGATCTGTAGAGCCCGACAACTCGAAACCGAAACAAACCCGGGCTGACACAACGCCAGAACCATGTTCAGATACCGAGCTTGGATTCCAAAACGTTCAAGTCCGGGCCGACCCGACACCATTGAACAGCAGCCCGGAACCCAACTTCCCGCACGCCGGGACCGACCCCGTCACAGCTCGGATCCATCAAATCACGGCCACCAGCACCGACCTCCGCTTAGGCCCCGACCTCGCGAGAACCGACCTCCACCGGTGCTGACTTTCCAGTCGAGAATAGAACTCCGCTTAGCCACCGGGACCCGACCTCGCGAGAGCCGACCTCCGCCGGGGCCGACCTCACAATCAGTCAGGCAAAACCTTCTTCATCGTCACCACACCACAAACCTCAAAACCCGATCTCAGCCGCAACTGTCAGTACCGATCTCACCGTCGGATGTCGGGCTCGGGCTCCAAAATCCTCAGATCCAGGCGTCGCCACAGAGAAGCGAATTCCGCCGTCAAGCCCGGACACCACCGAGTATCAAATGACGAGTCGAAAATAGTCAGACCCACGACACTCCCTTTCAAAAAGCCGAGCAGACGACGGAAAATTCAAGGGCAGCGGCGAGAGGAAATCGGAAAAGCGAAGAAGAAAACGAAAATTAAGGGCCTGTAAGTTTCTCTAACCTTATCCCACGCATTTACAGACATTGTTATTATAACAATAATAATAGAAAGTAACTAATAAGTAATAAATAATATTATAAGTACGTGCGAACTACGCAGATGTTCAAATATATCTATTGTGCATATAAATATATTAACTACTGCATAAGCGTGTACATATATACATACATATATATACATACATATACGTGAATGAAAACATGGACCGGATCTTATTCGTGAAAAGTCGAACCGAAACGGGAAAGATTGAAGGAAGCCGGTCTGCCGCAAGCCTTCGGGATAGGCATGACCGTTCCTCTAACACTTCTCAATCTCGGAAAGTCATGAGGCCTCCGGGCCGACACCGCTATCACGCCCGCCGTTGAGCCCAGCTCTGGCCAGACCGGCGTCCTTATCCAGCCCAGCGACGAGCCCCTGCTCTGCCGGGCTGACGTCTTTACTTCGCCCGCCGTTGAGCCCAGCTCCGGCCAGACCGACGTCCCTATCCGGCCCGGCGACGAGCCCCTGCTCTGCCGGGCTGACGTCTTTATTTCGCCGCCGTTGAGCCCAGCTCCGGCCAGACCGGCGTCTCTATCCAGTCCGGCGAC